TTTTAATGTCTGTGAATTCTCTAGTGAGATCCCTTTTACATTCCTGAATTAACCAAACATCACTTTTAACAGCTCAAATTCAAATAATTTTTAGCCCATACCATGTCCCAGGGGCTATGCTAGACTAGACACTGCCCCAGATATATGGAAGAACAGTCTCCAGCAGGGGTTAATTGAGTGTTGCATACTTACACCTCTATTTCTACACTCTGCTCTAGGTGTTGAGGCTGGGACTCTGAAAACCACATTTCTCAGACACACTTGCTATCATCTGATGGAAGGCACTAGAGAGAGATCAGAAGATGGGAAAAGGGCTCCCAGGTCCTATTAGCATTGTTCCAGCACCTTCCAAAAGCTCTAGGTTCCGCCTTCAGCTGCTGTTGGCAATCCAGCCTGTGGAACCCCCTCAGAGGTACAGCATCCGCCAGCTGTGTCTCTCCCCTCCTCATCCTGTAGTCTGAGCATTGGGCACACAGGCCTCTTCGCCCACCTGACCACCAGCTGCCCCTAAGCCCCTAGGCCTCAGGAGCCTCACTTCTTCCTTTCTGCCACCCCACCCGCCCCAACCTTAGGAGTTGTAGCTACTTCCTGTGGTTACTAATATCGGGGCTTTCTCAGAATCTCCTATCTTCTCTTTCATCCTTCAGTTATCTGTGTTAGCAGCTACCTATATCCAATCCCCCTCCATCTGAAACACTTTGTAGGGGGTTCATTTTGCTGGCTGCATCCTTACACTGAGGAAGTGAGAGGTGTGCAAAGTGAGAAGAGGCCATGCAAGGGGGAGCACAGTGGGTGCTCAGAGGTTAGAGAAGGCAGAAAAAGAGGAAGGCAGAGGAAAGGCTCTGGCAAAGGCTCCACTCCCCACAGAAGCCTCTCATTTCAATCCTTGTTACAAAAAGCAACATGCTTGGCCTCCCTCTAAAACTCTGGCCTACACACAGATATGCCTCTTTCCCATGGTTCTTCTCAGCATAGGGGAATATAGGCTGGCCTTTTCTTACTGAGATTATATTACCCAAAGTACAAACAGCTAAAAAGGAACTCTATCTCATTAGTTTCAAGATATACACTTTTTCACACTTTAACATTTCTGAGATCAGGATATATACTACAGTCAGTGGCATCTTACAACTATGAAAAGGTAGAAATTTTTTTCCATCAGTGGTATATAAAATAAGGGTGCATCTTTCTTTTTTTTTTTTCATTTATTTGTATTAGTTGGAGGCTAATACTTTACAATATTGTAGTGGTTTTTGTCATACATTGACAGGAATCAGCCATGGATTTACATGTATTCCCCATCCCGGTTCCCCCTCCCACCTCCCTCTCTACCTGATCCCTCTGGGTCTTCCCAGTGCACCAGGCCCGAGCACTTGTCTCATGCACCCAACCTGGGCTGGTGATCTGTTTCACCCCAGATAATACACATGTTTCGATGCTGTTCTCTCGAAACATCCCACCCTCACCTTCTCCCACAGAGTTCAAAAGTCTGTTCTGTACATCTGTGTCTCTTTTTCTATTTTACATATAGGGTTATCATTACCATCTTTCTAAATTCCATATATATGTGCTAGTATACTGTATTGCTCTTTATCTTTCTGGCTTGCTTCACTCTGTATAATGGGCTCCAGTTTCATCCATCTCATTAGAACTGATTCCAATGAATTCTTTTTAATGGCTGAGTAATATTCCATGGTGTATATGTACCACAGCTTCCTTATGCATTCATCTGCTGATGGGCATCTAGGTTGCTTCCATGTCCTGGCTATGATAAACAGTGCTGCGATGAACATTGGGGTGCACGTGTCTCTTTCAGATCTGGTTTCCTCAGTGTGTATGCCCAGAAGTGGTATTGCTGGGTCATATGGCAGTTCTATTTCCAGTTTTTTAAGAAATCTCCACACTGTTTTCCATAGCAGCTGTACTAGTTTGCATTCCCACCAACAGTGTAAGAGGGTTCCCTTTTCTCCACACCCTCTCCAGCATTTATTGCTTGTAGACTTTTGGATAGCAGCCATCCTGACTGGTGTGTAATGGTACCTCACTGTGGTTTTGATTTGCATTTCTCTGATAATGAGTGATGTTGAGCATCTTTTCATGTGTTTGTTAGCCATCTGTATGTCTTCCTTGGAGAAATGTCTGTTCAGTTCTTTGGCCCATTTTTTGATTGGGTCATTTATTTTTCTGGAGTTGAGCTGGAGGAGTTTGCTTGTATATTTTTGAGATTAATCCTTTGTCTGTTGCTTCGTTTGCTATTATTTTCTCCCAATCTGAGGGCTGTCTTTTCACCTTGCTTATAGTTTCCTTTGTTGTGCAAAAGCTTTTAAGTTTCATTAGGTCCCATTTGTTTATTTTTGCTTTTATTTCCAATATTCTGGGAGGTGGGTCATAGAGGATCCTGCTGTGATTTATGTCGGAGAGTGTTTTGCCTATGTTTTTCTCTAGGAGTTTTATAGTTTCTGGACTTACATTTAGATCTTTAATCCATTTTGAGTTTATTTTTGTGTATGGTGTTAGAAAGTGTTCTAGTTTCATTCTTTTACAAGTGGTTGACCAGTTTTCCCAGCACCACTTGTTAAAGAGGTTGTCTTTTCTTCTTTTGTATATCCTTGCCTCCTTTGTCGAAGATAAGGTGTCCATAGGTTCATGGATTTATCTCTGGGCTTTCTATTCTGTTCCACTGATCTATATTTCTGTCTTTGTGCCAGTACCAGACTCTCTTGATGACTGTGGCTTTGTAGTATAGTCTGAAGTCAGGCAGGTTGATTCCTCCAGTTCCATTCTTCTTTCTCAAGATTACTTTGGCTATTCGAGGTTTTTTGTATTTCCATACAAATTGTGAAATTATTTGTTCTAGTTCTGTGAAAAATACCATTGGTAGCTTGATAGGGATTGCATTGAATCTATAGATTGCTTTGGGTAGTATAGCCATTTTGACAATATTGATTCTTCCAATCCATGAACACGGCATGTTTCTCCATCTGTTTGTGTCCTCTTTGATTTCTTTCATCAGTGTTTTATAGCTTTCTATGTATAGGTCTTTTGTTTCTTTATGTAGGTATACCCCTAAGTATTTTATTCTTTTCGTTGCAATGGTGAATGGAATTTTTTCCTTAATTTCTCTTTCTGTTTTCTCATTGTTAGTTAGTGTGTTAATTTTATATCCTGCAACTTTACTATATTCGCTGATTAGCTCTAGTAATTTTCTGGTAGAGTCTTTAGGGTTTTCTATGTAGAGGATCATGTCATCTGCAAACAGCGAGAGTTTCACTTCTTCTTTTCCTATCTGGATTCCTTTTACTTTTTTTCCTGCTCTGATTGCTGTGGCCAAAACTTCCAAAACTATGTTGAATAGTAGTAGTGAGAGTGGGCAAGGGGTTCATCTTTCAATGACATTTTAGAGTTTATGGAATAAATTGTTTCTGCCAAGTTTAGTTTTCTGGTTTTCTGGAGTTAGAGCAAATATCTTTGGCAGAGATAGGGAGCTATCCATCAACATGTTTCCTTCTTCCCTTGTAATAAAACTTTAACTTGACCTTATGGTCGCCTAGCCAGTGACCACACTTCCAGGCCTCCCTGGCAGTAGGTGCAGTTGTTTGATGAACTTGGGGCCAATGGGATGTGAACAGATGTGATGTGTACAACTTCTGGATCCTGGATAACAAAAAGACAAGACAGGGTTTCTGCCTTCCCCCTTCACAAAAGCTAGACCTTGAACTGATATTCAGCTTCAGCCTTGAAGGTGTCAGCAATGCCCTGGGGGGGTGGAGTGGGTAGCAGAGTCACAGTATGAAAGAACCTAGATCTCTGAATGACCATGAGAAGGAAGGGCACCTGCCGGCATAACAGCTCACGTTGGGACTGATACATGGGAGAAATCACCTTCTCTTTTTTTAATCCATTATATTTGGGAATCACTGTTTTCCCAACAGGTTAACTTTTATCTAAACAAAAACACCTCCTCCTATTCAGCAACTGGCTCATCCTTGCCCACCCCTTGCGTGGCCACATTTTTGTCCAGTTTCCTTACTATCTCCTTGCAACAGATACCGAGACTCTGCCCCTATCATGGGATATTTTAACGTGGCATGTTGATGTTCTGATCGTTCTGACAAGGGCTGACTTGCTTAATAATTTTACTATTTCCCATTCATGCTGCATGGTCATGTGACCATTGTCAATGAGGTTTACATTTTGGAAACAACTTTTCCCTTCCATCAGTAATCATCACTTCAACACCTGCATAAAAGTAAAGTGAAAGTCGCTCGGTCTCATCTGATTCTTTGCGAGCCCATGGGTGTAGTCCATGGAATTCTCCAGGCCAGAAATACTGGGGTGGGTAGCCTTTCCCTTCTCCAGGGGATCTTCCCAACCCAGGGATCGAACCCAGGTCTCCCACATTGCAGGTGGATTCTTTACCAGCTGAGCCAGAAGGGAAGCCCAAGAATACTGGAGTGGGTAACCTATCCCTTCTCCTGTGGATCTTCCCAACCCAGGAATCAAAAACCAGGGTCTCCTGCATTGCAGACAGATTCTTTACCAACTGAGCTGTTGGGGAAGCTTCACCAAGATGAAAACTCATCCTGGCACGCTAAAAATGTGGGAAGGGCTAGAGAACGAAAGGAGGCAGGGATAGGGCAGGAGCGACAGAGGGAGGAAACCAAGAGAACAGCAGATTTGCCGAAGGGACGGCGGCCACAGGAAAGTGTCCTGCATCTTCTGTATCCACTTCCCTGTTTCCAGTCCTGGAAAATCATCCGAGTGGTTCCCCTCTTGGTTTTCCACATGACTAAACCCCACGGGTCTCAGTTAATCATGCTTGGGCCCGCCTGGCTGCCTCTCAGTTCCTCTGGCGCCTGCAGAGACCCGCAGGCTGCAGACCCGGGCACACCGCCCGCCCCCTCCCACCTTCCTTCCCCCCTCACACCCACGCCAAGGAGGGGTCTCGCCAGGGGCCTGGCTGAGCGTGGGGCCGGCCCGGGGTCTCCGGACCTCACAGCATGGAAGTGTCCTTCCGACTCCTGGCCTGCTTGGTGTGCGTCGTCCCGATGGGTGAGTTTCCCACTCTTCACTCCAGAGCGTTTTCAGAAGGGAAGAGGTGCTCATAAACTGGGCGGGACAGTCCTCTCTCTGCACTCAGGGCAGCTGGGGTGCCCTGCACTCAGACTCTCTGCACTCAGGGCAGCTGGGGTGCCCTGCACTCAGACTCTCTGCACTCAGGGCAGCTGGGGTGCCAGGGCCTCCAGGCCTGGGAGAAGGGAGAGCTGCCCTTTGGAAGACTGTGGTGACAGAGGCCATAACTCTACGTCTAGGCTTTGCCTTGGGTTCCGGGGATGGAGGCGGTGCCGGGCTCCTCTGGGCCTCCATATCCCCACCTGTAGAAAGGCCGCCTTCCCCGCCCTTTGCTGTGAGGAGCCAGGGGGCACGGCGGGCCAGCTCTGGGGAGGACAGGCTCCAGGTGGTGTTGTCATCCAAGCGCATCTTAGTGGGCTCCCCCTGGGAAAGCGGGGAGAGCACACGGCTGGTTGGGGGTAAGGGTGGCACCTTCCTGTGGGCAGTAGGTAAGTGATCAAGGGCACCCTTCTGCCCAGCAGGAACCCCAAGAAGGGATTGGGAACTCTTAGCAGCAGGCTTGAGTAACAGTGTCACTTCACTTAAGGTCATTTAGCTCAAGGAGTTGCTGTCCCTGGAAACAGCGTGTCTCAAAATGTGGTCATAGACCATCTGCATCAGAATCCCAGGGGAGGCAAGCCTCTGTTAAGATGCATACTCTTCAGCTCTGCTCTGCAGAATCAGAAAACGTCAGGAGCAGGGCCCAGGAACCGGCATTGTCAACCATCTTCTTGGGTGATTCTGATGCAGGGTGCAGTCAAGGGCCACTGGGAAAAATGACAAAGGCAATCCTCATGTCCCCAGTGTCCAGGCCCCAGTCTTCTCCTCGACCCCACCTGGGCTGAAACATCCATCTCGTGGCGATGTCCCTGGACTCAGCATCTAGGCCTGTCTGTGTGCAGCCACTGGCCACTGATATCACGGTGCTCCAAGCTGTTAGTCTTCCGTAGGTGGAGTCCTGTCTCGACGACTGGATTATAAACTCCCACTCTCAGGTTCTCAGTCCTTTCTCTCTAGCTTTTAGCATGCCGCAGAGTCCTATTTGGGGCTGATTTGAATAGTAACAGCTGCTGCTGCTGGTGTTAAGTCGCTTCAGTCGTGTCCGACTCTGCGACCCCATAGACGGCAGACTACCACGCTCCTCCGTCCCTGGGATTTTCCAGGCAAGAGTACCTGGAAAGTGGGGTGCCACTGCCTTCTCCATAGTAATAGCAAGTACCTCGTATTAAGGGCTGGGCACTTTAAGTATTGGGCTTCCCTGTGGCTCAGCTGGTAAAGAATCAGCCTGCAATGCAGGAGGCCTAGTTTCGATCCCTGGGTTGGGAAGATCCCCTGGAGAAGGGAAAGGCTACCCACTCCAGTATTCTGGCCTGGAGAATTCCATGGACTGTATAGTCCATGGGGTCACAAAGAGTCGGACGCAACTGAGCAACTTTCACTCACTCACTCACTTTAAGTATTAATAATAATTCAAGTAAGTATCATAATCCTATGAGAGAGGAACTGTTACATTCTCTTTGCACAGATGAGAAAATTGAGGCACAGAGAGGTTCAGTGAGTGGTGCAGGTGAAGCTGGGATTTGCTCTTGGGGATGTGTGCCCCAATCTGGGACCACACCACCAGCTCCCACCCCACACTGCCCACAGTCCCACCCATAAAGCCCTGTGATGGCGGCTGATAGGGGAGGGGGTTTCTTTGGCCAAGTTGACCCAATTCAGAAATCTTTCTGGATGGCTTAGGGGTGGGCTTCCCTTGTAGCACAGTTGGTAAAGAATCTGCCTGCAGCGCAGGAAACCTGGGTTCGATCCCTGGGTCGGGAAGATCCTCTGAAGAAGGAAATGGCAACCCACTCCAGTATTCTTGCCTGGGAAATCTCATGGACAGAAGAGCCTGGTGGGCTGCAGCCCATGGGATCACAAAGAGTCAGGCACAACTGGGCAACTAATGCTTACTTACTCACGCTTACTTACTCACATAGAGGGTGGGGCTGGAGGAGGTGACCCTCCCCAGGCCTGGGGGCAGACTGGAGAGTGGGTCAGGGAAGCACTGAATCTTGGGTCTGCTATTTGCCACTGGGTGGCTCTGGGCATGCTTAGTCACTTCAGTTGAATCTGACTCTTTACGACCCTATGGACTGCAGTCTGCCAGGCTCCTCGGTCCATGTGATTTTCCAGGCAAGAACACTGGAGTGGGTTGCCATGCTCTCCACAAGAGGGTTTTCCAGACCAAGGGATCGAACCCGCATCTCCCTCGTCTCCTGCAGTAGCACAAGGGTTCTTTACCACTAGTGCCACCTGCAGGTTGCCTAACTTCTCTGAGCCCCGTTAAATGGGGGTCCCCACCACACCACAGGTGCTGTGAAGGAGAATCGGGTCATGGATGGAAGGCCCCCAGCACAGTCCTGGCGCTCAGCAGCTGGGCGGTTAAATGGCAGTGAAATGTTGCTCAAGTCAGATAGCTTCCAGGGCTGTTTTGTTTGGGATTGTTATTTCTTTCTCCGCCAAGAGTCAGCAGCTATGAATCAGACAAAAAAGACCAAAAAATAAAAGAAAGAAAACTTAGAGGAAGCATGAGCAGTCACATGCTGAAGTACAAACCCCAAACCACACAAATGCTCCAGCTATGCGTCACAATCCAGGGAGGCTGGGCATCCGTGGGAGCCTCGGCAGCCGGCCCAGGGAGGGGACCGCCTCTTCTCGTGGCCAGCAGCTGCTTCCTGCCTGAAACCGGGAGGTCATGAACTCTGGGGGAGCAGCGTCTCCCTGCCCGAAACCCCTCTGGGGCTGTTCACCCGGGAGCCTCTCCACGGGCTGGCAGGCCTGGAAGGGGCCAGAGCCCGAGCAGCCAGAGGGCAGCGAGGCCCCAGGTCACAGTCCCACCCCGTCACACCTGTGAGCAAGCACAGGACCCTGGGCTGGCCTTTGGCAAAAGTGAAGAGGGAGGAATTCATGCAGAAAGCCCACCGCCCCCCCACCCCGCCCCCTGCTCCCATTTGCTGTGCCTTCTCCCTCATACTGGCGCCCCCTACCTGCACCCGGTGTCCTGGGGCAACCCCTCATCCCCAGGCGGCCCACACACTCTCCTTTCTCTTTCCCTCCTGTCTCCCAACAGATCTGCTGTTAGAAAGTGGGTGATGTCAGGGGACATGAGAGGTGGTGGGAAGAGCGGTGGTCTGGGAGCTCCGGCCACGTGGTGACCTCAGACAAGACCTCCGTTGGCCCCCAAATCTCTGATGACTGGTGCAGCGACCACAGTGGTTGCCAACTTGAAGGACCATCGTGCTGGGCCTTTGATGGCAGCTCATTTCCTCTTCACCACAACCCCGCAAAGTGAAGACCCTTGTCCCTGTTTTCAGGGACGCTCAAGGAGGTCAGGGGACTTCTGGGTGTCAGAGCCTGGATGAGACCTGGAGTCTCCTGAGGGCCAGGCTTGCCCTTGACACTGCCTACACCTGTGTGCAGTGGGTGGTGAGCCTGAGACAAAGCTTGGGGCTCACAGAAACTTACTTTGCTAGCTCTAAACTCCTGCAGAAAAACAAACTGGAAAGGCAAGACGATTTGCACAGTCACCCAAGGTCGTGGGGGGTTTATCTGGGACCTGGGGAAAGGTCAGGGACTGCTATCATGGGCCTAGCAGGAAATGAAGATGGGATGAGCCAGGACACTTCCTCTGTCCGTGGTGGCTACTGTGGCCAGCAGCTGGGACGGAGAAGTCCTGCCCCGGGAGGAGGAGGGGTGTAGGAACTGGAAGCACGGCAGGGACGGCTGAATCAGAACTCCCAAGAGCAACGCCAGTGACGGACACTGGCCCCGGAGCAGGCTCCACTCATGGTTCTGCATCTCCATCAGCCCAGCGAGAGGGTCCAGATCCACAACCACGCAGCCAGAGAGGCAAGGGTTAAAGGGGAAACAGGACAACTGAGGGCAGAGGGGAACAGCCAGGCCTTTCAACAGCTCACTTCTCCCTTTGCCTCCCTTGTCCCTGGGCCTGTGAGGCCTGCTTCTCGGTGGAGGATGGACTCATGATTCTGCTCCCTCCTTTCCCCTCTGGTCTCCACCCTTTTCTCACTTTTTCTCTGCTGATAACCTGTCTGGACTGCTACGTGCAGGCCCGGAAGGCAGAGTTATTGAGAACAAACTGCGATGCAGGAGGGAATTGGAAAAGTGAGAATGGAGTGTTCAGGTTCTGCAGATGTCTCTATCGCCGAGTCCCTGTCCCACCCTGGCACCCCTGGCACAGGGCTTTGGAAGCTGGCACTCAGCACTGCAGCCCCTGACCTCCCACAGTGAGCAGCCCCCAACCTCCCACAGTAAGCATCGTCACCATGGGGAGATGGGAGCAACTCTGAAAGCTTAGTGAGTGCCTGTGCGGGACCATCAAACATGGGCACCCCTTTCCAAATAGCTAAATTTGCTGGATAACTAATAGCTTGTTTTAAAATACCTAGAAGTCTCTCAATTAATTTTAGATTGCCATATTTCTAAAATGCTTACTAGACATCTTTGTCATTTTTATCAAGATATCATTTTTGGACATAGACTTTTAGATTTAAAAGTCTCCTTAGTAAACATCTACAGACGTCATTTCACAGATGAGCCCACTTAAGTCAGAGCTATGAGGATTCACCTAAAGTCACAAAGTCACGGCCAGTCTGAAGTGAAGTGAAGTGAAGTCGTTCAGTCGTGTCTGACTCTTTGCGACCCCATGGACTGTAGCCAACCAGGCTCCTCAGTCCATGGGATTTTCCAGGCATGAACACTGGAGTGGGTTGCCATTTCCTTCTCCAGGGGATCTTCCCGACCCAGGGATTGAACCCTGGTCTCCCGCATTGTAGGCAGACGCTTTACCGTCTGAGCCACCAGGGAAACCTAGCCAGGGCTATGACCCCAGACAGAGCCTGAGACCCCACCTGAGGGGCACACCTCTCACGGCAATGAACCCTTCCAAGGTGACTCAGGTCATGGCCACGAGCACCTGTCCCAGCAGCCTGCTGTGGGGAGTGATGCCTCAAGGCCCCCTCCACTTACTCGTCCTCTGAAGGGTCCTATTTGTGCTGCACTTTGATCATTTCCCATCCCGAGTCATCACATTATTTTTTCTGAACCCTCCTCCCGGAACAAATGCTGATTATCATCCCGAGCTGCTTTCAGTGGACCTACAAACAGAAGTCACATTCTAGCTTTTCAATCTATTATTTCCCTAAGCTGGGAAGCTAATTAAACAAACTTGTTAGATCTGTAAGTAAATGAAAAACAAACAGTGGCTGAGCCAGGCTGTAAACACACTGAGGAGGCAACTGATTGGTACAGTAACTGTATCCCCAACACCCGGCACAGGGTTAAGCACCTGATGGACCCTCAATAAGCATCTATTGAGTGAAAAAATACATGAATCAATGACCAGGTTAGCCAAGGGCAAGGCCTGTGCTATTGCATGCCTAAGGTGTCAAGTTGAGCCACAGATAGTGCAGTGTCCGGAGCCAAAACAATCCCCCGCTGCGTTGCTTGAGTTTTCCGCCCGGAGTCCTCCTCCTGCACCCCTGAAAAGCACCGCCCCCTGCTCCCTCCTGGTCCCTGTCTGTTTGCAGAGCTAGTGAAGGAGGGAATTAACATCACTGAGCGTTCGCTGAGTGGCAGCACTGTCCTGGTGGCCTTCATGGGTGACTTCATTCCATCCTCAATCTTACGAGGAAAGTACCATGTTCCACATTTTGCAGCAGAGGAGCCTGAGGCTTGGGACGTCAAGCAACAGATATGGCCCAAAGATCTCCCTGTAAGTGGATCTGCCTAGAATAGTGCCAGGGACAGACTGGGTCCTCCAGACGAGTGAGAATGTCATCCACTTTCTTCACCGCACCCCGAGGCCCACCACTGAGGGGAGGCGCTTCGGACAATAGGAAGATGAGGCAGAGAGAGTAGAGACCCTCCCCATAAAAGAGGCTGCGCTTCCAGCCCAGGGGCCATCCCTGCCCGGTCCTAAGAGACATGCAGAAGCTTCGAGAGGGAATGGTAAACGTCACGGGAATCAGGGAGTTTGTATTCCTGCCAAAGCAAATGCACTTGCTCCCTGGGTAATTCCTGTTGGGACTTCCCTCACCTCGAGTCCCCTGGGTGGACTCATCCAATAGTGAGTCCCCGTGCCGCCTCTTGGAAGCCCACACAGCAGGTAAACTGTCACACTAGGTGAAAGGGCCTCTGTGAGCCCTCTCTCCTCCTAGAGCAGAACTCAGGGAGGGAAGGGCCCTGGCTGATCATCTATACCACACGCCAGGATGCTCCTAACCCAGGCTGCCATCCTCAGGCAGACAGAGTCCACGGATGTGACCCATGTGTAGTCAAAATTCAGCCTCTCTACACCGGTGTTGGCTTAAGTCTTGGGGACAGAGTTTGGGGTGAAGTAGAAAGAAATAGCTCTATTACTTTTCCAGGCAAAGGGCTAATGCCCTCAACACTGCCTTTTGGACACTGGGAAGAATGTGGGCCTCCTGGTGACCTAAACTGTGTGTCCTGCCCTGGAAGGGTAGTGAGGGATCATATAATGTTCAAGGAGCAGGGTGTGATGGGCTCACAGACATTCTTCTGATTGGTTGCTGGTGATGTAATCGAGTCAGCATCATCTTCTGGTTTCAGTTGGTCTGGGGTCTACACATTTGTGGGCTACATGCAGTTAACTTCTTCTATCTGATGGGAGTTTCAGTACCTGCAAAACAGCTAAAGGATATGCACAGAATATCACCTACAGCCCTTGTTTGGGTGTGTTAAATCACTCAGTTGTGTCCAACTCTTTGCAACCCTGTGGACTTTAGCCTGCCAGGCTCCTCTGTCCATGGGATTCTCCAGGCAAGAATACTGGAGTGGGTTGCCATGTCCTTCTCCAGGAGATCTTCCAGACCCAGGGATCGAACCCGCATTTCTTCCATCTCCTGCATTGGCAGGCAAGTTCTTTACTGCTAGCACCACCTAGGAAGCCCCATGGTCCTTGAGGAAGAACTAAAGGTCCTTGACTTTGTTTATTGGCAATAACAATAAGTTAATATTGTTTTGTCTTGCTTGATTGTTTTCCTTTCTTTTTGCATTTCTCCACTTCTCTGATGAAGTTTATTCTTTGACTAAGGTTTTTCTACAGACAAAAGGCAGGCAGAGGACATAGGTGGAGTCTATCCTGCGGAGGCCTCATAGGGTCCAGCTCAGTGACACTGCAAGGGGAAGACTTGGTTGGCTCTGCCTGGTTGGTCAAGTGACCTGGCCGAGTCTCTTGGCTCTCTGAGCCTCAGATCTCCTTCTCTGGGGGCTGGGGGGTGGGGGGGCGGCCAATAACCCTACCCCATGCATGGATTGCTGTGCTTATGAAATAAGATTCACAATGTCTGCTCCCAAGCCCCAGAGCACACGTACTCTGGCCCCCTTATCCTCACATCTGCGTTGTCTATGCTGATGTCCATAATCCATTTCGCCGTTTGCCTAGAATCCCTGCAGCCTACCTCAAACCCCACTCCTTTCCCAAGGCGGAAGCTCTTCTCTCGTGGGGCCTCCAATCAGCCCCTGTCCACCCACCCTTCCTGCCAACCTGGGCTCCCTCCCTTCTGCTCTCTCACACAATTCAAGTCAACATCAGCTACTATGGGCAGGTGCATGTTGGGCAACAGCTGCACAAATACGACCCCCACCCATGGTCCCTGCCCTCCAGGAACCCCTGGGTGCCTGGACAAAAGACGCAGTTAAGTTCTGGGGAAAGGGGTACCAGACCCAGGCTTGGGGCTCAAGGAAAGTCTCCCACTGCAGGATGACTCAGTGAGGTCTGGGGACAAGTAGGAAGGAGCTGGTGAGTGAAAGGGCCCCGCCCCACATTCAGACAGAGAGATCCCTGTTCGTGTCCCTCCTGGCAGGCTTTAGTGTAACTACGGGTTCACAGACCTGGCACCCTTTCTGAACTGTGAGCTCCAATAGGCTGATAAATTATTCTCTTGTTCTTTGTAGCCCCAGCTCTGGTCCCAGTGCCTGGCTTTGAGGGGGGACTGTGTCCAAGCAACATCAAACAATCCCTGGGGAATCGGTGCCTGGCTCCATGATGCCTGTGAGAGGCAGGAGGTCAGAGGAGGCTGAGGTTACAGAGGGTGGGAGCGCAGGGAAACTGAGGCAGGGGCTGAGCCTCAAGATTGGGAGATGCTTTCTGCAGCTGGAAGTACTGAATGAATGAGCAAACCTTCAGAAAGTTTTCTCAAATTTGGAAGTAGGCCCTCTGATTATTAACAACTGGGTGAACAAGCTCTTACTAGGAATAGACGTGGAGTCCCCAGCTGGGGTTCAAAAGCATACTTCCATTTGTCCAGAAGAAAGGAGATTCGGCTTAGAAACAGACTGTGGGGAGGAGGGGGGGAGTTGTGGTTTTATTTCACTGCAAGTTCGGGGCAATCCCAAAGTGAGGTTTTATGTGAGACACAGCTCACACAACCCATTTGGTACCCAACTCTGCCTGGCCCAGCACATGTGGAGGCCCTGGGCTCAGGACACTTCAGATAGAGCCCCAAGTGGCCAGTGAGGCTGGAGAGGGGCAGGTGAAGGGCTGGGACATCTGCCAGGGAGGACAAGGCTTATGGGTCCAGGAGAGTCAGGATGGGATCTGGGGAGGGCCATCACAGAGGGGAGAAGGCTCCAGACAGCGACAGTGGCCACTTGAGGGGCAGGAGACATTGATTCTGGGAATGTCGCTCTCCTTGGATAAGGCCCGAATTTCTATGCCCATAGGGCACTAGAGTGCACCAGAGGAGTCAGGCAGGCCTGAGTCTGAATGCCCAGGACGAATGCCCTGACCTGTAGATTTTTCATAGTGGGGATGGGTTCCCTGGAGCATGGTCTGCCTGCTGTGAGCTGAGGGGACTCCCACCCAAGATACAAGTTGGGCTACCACCAAGAGCAAAGAGCACTGGACTTGAAGTCATGTGATGTGATGTATGTGAAAGAACTTGGCAAATTGCAAAGCCCTTTGGAAATACAGGGGCTGCTATATTATTCCCTGTAAAGATCCCTGCACCCAGGCACCAGCGACTCAGCCTGCCCCCCTTCCTAGAGGAGGCACCCCTTGGCCTGATTCTCCCAGCACTGACACCCATCCGCCCACCCTGTTCACCCTTCTCCCAAAGAAGCACATATCTGCAACAACAGAGGCAGTGAGTGATCTCCAGCCCTCCCTAAGCTGCAGCAGAGTGCGGCTTGCAGACCTTAGCGCAACCACACTTCGGAGGCCCACGACTTAGGAGTTGAGGAAACCTGAGCCCAGAAGCACTTGTGCAGAGCGGGAAGGCAGCATTAAAGGTCTGCCCTCCTGGTCTCTCAGCTCCCTGTCTGGGCACTGGCCTATTGGAAAGCCCACTTGGGTGAAACTGGAGCACAGAGGAACCTCAGTCACCAACTCAACGCATCAGCTTCAAAACATACCACCCCCTCCCAAGGCCTCGGTTGCCCCTCTGTAAACGGGAACGTTGCTCTCCTTGGATAAGGCCCGAGTTTCTATGCCTTAGTGCATTAGAGTGCAGCAGAGGAGCCAGGCGGTCCCGAGTCTGAGCATCAGCTTTGCCTCATCCTAGCTGTGTGACCTCAGGCAATTACTCAACCTCTCTGTGCCCTGGTTTATTAACATGTAACCTGGGGCTAACTCTTCTTACCTCTAGGATCACTTGTGAGAACTAAGAGAGATACCACTGGGAACTTGCTCAACACAGAGATGAACAGTAAGTGCCTTTACTATTATCATCATCAGGTGGGAGAGTTGGGGGTGGGAAGGGTCTGTAACCACAGGTCCCCGGGGTTTTCTGAAGCAGGGCAGGTTTGATGGAGAAGAGATTGGGAACATTGGGCCCGTAGGTGAGGTGGGACGTGCTGAGTGAGGCAAACAGTCCCAGGGAAGCGGGGATGCGGAGGGGGGAGCTGGAGGGGCAGGGGAAGATTCAGGCACCGAGAAAGTCACGGGAGTCAAGGCCTTGGGAGATGCCTCTGAAGTCCTCGGGTGGGTTTCCAGACTCACCCCCCACCCCGACTCGCGAGGGGAGGAGGGCGCTTCCTGCGCCCCAGGGGTTTCCAGGCGCCTCGGGGTGCGGATAGGGGGGACGCCAGCGCCCGCGCTGCCCGCCCGCCCGCCCGCCCGCCTGCCCGCAGGTGCGCCCGCCCAGCGCTGGTCCATGCAGGTGCCGGCCGAGGTGAGCGCGACGGCGGGCGAGGCCGCGGTGCTGCCCTGCACCTTCACGCACCCGCACCGCCACTACGACGGGCCGCTCACAGCCATCTGGCGCGCGGGCGAGCCTTTCGCCGGCCCGCAGGTGTTCCGCTGCGCCGCGGCGCGGGGCAGCGAGCTGTGCCAGACGGCGCTCAGCCTGCACGGCCGCTTCCGGCTGCTCGGCAACCCGCGCCGCAACGACCTGTCGCTGCGCATCGAGCGCCTCGCGCTGGCCGACGACGGCCGCTACTTCTGCCGCGTCGAGTTCGCGGGCGACGTCCACGACCGCTACGAGAGCCGCCAGGGCGTCCGGCTCCGCGTGACGGGTGAGCGCGCCGCCCGACCTCGCTCGCCGCGTCCCGCGCGTCTCTCGGAGCGGGCTCTGGGCTGGGATCCGAGTGGTTACAACGGGCACACCCCTTCGTCTAGAGCAGGGTGCGCTTACACCTGGAAGGGCCACAAACACCCCACCCCCCCTCCCCCCCCCCCACCCCCCGCGTAACTGGTTCAAAGGCTGCGGAATCCTGGCCCCGGGACGGGATGGGTGGAGCCTGGGATGGGTGCTGCAATGAAGCTTGTAGAGAGTGAGTGTGCCCCAACAGCCCTGAGACTAGCAGGGAGAAATACGCTAGACCCTGAGGTTTAAGGATGAGGGGGTGGGGGGTTGCAGAATCCTAGAAAGGTGATCCTCAAGCGTGGCTAGCTCTGGAATGACTTAAGGAGCTTTTTTTAAAAAAAGTCCAAGACCCCTGCTGTGGGGGACCCAGGCATTATGGATTTAGTTTGGCTCTGCCAAGAACTACTCATGTGCCCTTGGGCTGGCTGGGCAGCCTCTCTGACCTCATTTCAGTTTCCTCGGACTTGTCCGCCTCAGTCTCAGGGATTCGGTGAATCTGTCTCCACTTGAGATGTCAGTGAGGCTGTCTGAGTCAAGGTGCCCTTGAAATCTCTCCAGCACACCGCCCCCCCACCCCCCAACTACCCGCCGCTATCGGGAGACTGCCTGCGTGCATGCTGTCGCTTCAGTCGCTTCCCACTCTTTGCAACCTCGACCCACCAGGCTTCTCTGTCCATGGGATTCTCCAGGCAAGAATACTGAGTGGTTTGCCATTCCATTCTCCAGGGGATTTTCCCGACCCAGGAATCGAACCCAGGTCTCTTATGTCTCCTGCATTCACAAGTGGGTTCTTTACCACTAGTGCCACCTGGGGAAGCCCCAATCATGCGCTACCACGTAATAATGACGTTTAGAAAGCACTTGCACAGGCACCCCACATGAATTAACTTGTCAGATCTTCCCCAGAACCTCACAAAATAAGTGATCCCCATTTTACACGTGAAGAAACTAAGGCCCAGAGCGATGGAATAACTTGCCAAAGGCCACACCTGTTCTGGGAACCCAGACGCCCTGGCGCCCTGAGCGCCTCTTCCTTCCTCTCATATCCTATCCCCACTCCCTCCTCCAACCCTCTCCGCGAAGGGGACAAGGAGGGCTGCCCCTTACCCTTTCCTTTGCCCGCCACTGCTCTGACTGCGTTTTGCTTTCTCCTGGGTGCTCCTCCGGCCGCCGCCCGCAGCCGCTCCGCGGATCGTCAACATCTCTGTGCTACCAGGCCCAGGGCACGCCTTCCACGCGCTCTGCACGGCTGAAGGAGAGCCATCGCCCGCCCTCACCTGGTCCGGCCCGGCCCTGGGCGAAGGCTTGGCCGCCACTCGGAGCCCAGGTCATGATCCCGGCCACCAGGTGACCGCCGAGCTGCCCGCACTGGCCCACGACGGCCGCTACACATGTACGGCCTCCAACAGCCTGGGCCGCGCCGAAGCCAGCGTCTACTTGTTTCGTTTCCACGGCGCATCCAGGGCGTCGACGACCGCCCTCCTGCTCGGCGCGCTCGGCCTCAAGGCGCTGCTGCTGCTCGGCGTTCTGGGCGTTCGGGCCGCTGCCCATCATCGCCTAGGTGGGTGCGACTCTGGGCTAGGATGGGTGCTCAGGGCAAGTGGGTCTCTCCTCCAGGCTGACCACCTGGCATGACACAACTGGAACATCATTTATGCACCGGTGCGTCTCCCTCCCCTCCCTGATCAAGCCCAGGATAAGCCAGCATAAGCCCATTTTACCATCAGGAAGCTGAGGCCAGAGAGGTTAGGGAACTCGACTCCAGCCTCGAGTCACAGAGACACAGACTCACCCTTTTGCCGAGTGCCCCATAAATGACTCATCCAGAAGGGCTCTGACCACACACAGACTTTCCCAAATAGCACCATTTCATTCATTAGGTTGCAACAGCATCCCGAGCACCAACTACATGCTGCATAGGTGCTGGAAATAAACAGAGATGAATATGACATGGTGCCCTGCCCTTGAATGGGATGCTGAGAAGTAAGCAGATAATTGCAGTCTGCAGAGAGAAGTGCAGTCAACCCAGGTACTGCAGAGGCCCTGAGTACGTGTGCCTCTCTCTGATGGGGCATCAGGACAGGAGCCAGGCGGCAAGGCTTCGCACAGTAAAGGGAGGCTAAACCAAAAGCTGTAAGCAGCTGGGAGCTGGAGAACAAGGAGCTTGTAGTGCTCCTAGCAGAAGGAACAGCATCTATCCAAGCGTGGAAGCTTGAACTAGCAAGCTATCTTCAGAGAGCTGAGGTCACCCCTCCCTACTCCCACTAAGCTGGATGGGAGATTTGTTCTGTGCCCCAGAGAAGGGGCTTCCCAGAGCCTCTCAGCTCACCCAGGTGAGTAGCACCAGCCTCAGACTCTCCCGGGATAAAATCCAAAATTTGTCACAGTTGCCTTGGCTGCCATCTTTGCTGGGACCGTGCTGGCTTTCTCGCAGGGTCTTCAAACCCACCAAGAATTCTGTGCTTCAGGGGCCTCAGGGAAGCAGGTCTTCCTGCTCCTCACTCCCCAGGTAACTGTCATCTTTCAGGCCACTCCTTCGCCTTCTGCTGGCTAGCTCATCTCCCTCCAGACCGCTCTCACGGCGGGGTGGGAATGGACAGCAGGGCTTGGAGCCCAAAGGCCACCGTGAAGATTCATGCCTCCTCTCTCTCTCTTCCTCACACAGAGCACCCAGTCACCCCGGACTCTCTGCCAAGGTAAGCGAGCTAGCCCACCCCCACCTCCCCCCTCTGGTTCCCACTGGCAAAGGGGTGCGGGCTTCTCAGGCAGAGCGGCGCAAGAAGAAACAATGGACAACGGGCCGGGGCGGGGGTTCTAGCCCTTCTCAGTGTCAAGGCTCTCCCTGCTGCCTCTTGAAGCTGCCGCTCCTTCAGTCCACCAAGGCCGACCAGCGAGACCACGCCACGCCGACCTGCTTCGGCTCTCCCGTCCCACCACGTTCCCAGCACTGACTTTGGGCCTCGCGCTGGCTGTCTCCCAGACCAGCTGCCTGGTGCCCATTCTGTTGAAGGTCATTTTCTGTGTCTGCCTTATCTGTGCACCTAGAGGTGTCCCTGAAGACAGTGTTTTTCCTCCCATAGTGCCCAGTGTTCTAGAACAGATCCGCACAAAAGCCACCATCGGGCAAGCATTGTCTCAGACACCCTGCTGAATGAAGGCTTTGCATGCAAAATGTCAGTAGAGATACTGAGAGCTTAGTTAAGGGCCCACAGACCTAAAAGGTAGGAAGCATGGCCCTTATTCCTTCTTGGTGTCTGTCCAAGTGAAGGCCCATGTTAAAGAACAAATGCTGTCTGGGATGCTTGGGGGAGGCAGGAAGCCGGTGACAGCTGTCTAGGTCCCTTCAGACAAGCCTAGGCACTCCTATAGCTCCGCTCCACCTGGGCCTGGGGGCTGGGAGAGCCACACTGCCAGCCCAGAACCCTCTCTACAGATGTCCACTCAGCAGTCCCCCACATTCTCGAATACCTGTGCAAAGTCTGTTTTCTTTGCTAACTTACTTACCACACCAGAGCACCCAAATCAGAAAGCTGATCGTTGCTCAAAATATCTGTTGATCTCTACTATGTACTGGGCACTGTTTTGGATGCTAAAAGTAAAGCAAAAATCCTCCATCTCAGAGAACTCACACTTGAACCTGGAGAATTTTAATAAACACCTAAACAAGAGATGTTAGATTATAAAATAAGAGCTGTGAAAAGAAAAAAATAAAAATGGACACGGCGATAGAGTAAAGCTCCAGGAGAGGGAGGTGCCACTGGGTTGTGGCTGCTTCAGACCCGCCATCCTGTCTGAGGACACCGAGAGATGGGAGGCAGGCACCCGTACGGGCAGGTAAGGGTGCTGGGGGCGACCCGGGAGGCAAAGGCTCAGGCCTGACCCAGGAAGCGGGCAGGGAAGGCAGGCGGGCTGCGGGATTTACCCTGAGTGCAATGAGGAGTCAGTGAGTGGTTTAAGTAGGCGAATGGCCCCATCCGAACAGGAGTGGAGGCAGGAGAACTGTGACGGCTGTTGATCAGGACTGCAGCTGGCTCGGCTGCTTGGCTGAAGGTGGCAACAGAGAGGGTGGGGAAATGGGGCGGACAGAGGCAGGGCAGACAGAGGCCTGCTGGGCCGCGCAAGCAAAGGAGGGAGCCAGCAGTTCTGGAGCTGAAACCCTGGTGCCGCTTACTGAGCTGAAGGCGAGGAGAGAAGAGGGGCGGTGGAGGGCCTCAGGTGGGCACGCAGGCATGTAGGGCATGGGGCGTCTAGGCCTGAGAGGCCCAGGAGGATGTCCTGAAGTCAGGAGAGCATCTGGAGCTCAGGAGGCCTGGCCTGGAGGTGGGTTTTGAAGCCACAGACAAATCCCTTTGAGAAGATGGAGACTCTGATCTGCAACACTGTCACCTGGATGTCCCTTCCCTGGTCTGCAAGTTCTGCCACTGCCCCGCCTCCAACCTTCGCTTGGTCTCCAGGCCCTGTTGGACGTAGGCCCCTGATGCCCACCTCATCCCTGCTTCCACCCTTTGCTGGCCTGGGGTTTGGGCAGTCAGAGACCTCTCCTGTTTGGGTGGTCAGCCAACTTTCTCCTGTCCACAGGCCCCAGGCTCAGGAGTCCAATTATGAAAATTTGAACCAGATGAGCCCCCGGGGCCCACCAGCAGCTGTGTGTTCACCGTGAGGAACCCACTGGCCACCCACATCCACTGGTCACCGCGAGGAACAAAGGCCAACAGGAGGCTTGGCTGGGACAGCCCTTCCTGGCTCCCGGGCACTGTGACAGCCCCAGCCCAGCAACACCCGGAGGTCAGGACCATGCTCACAGAGGCTCAGAGGTCTCCCGTATGGACTTCGGTCTTCAAGCCCCAGCAATATTTCTCTCTATGGGGCAGCAGTTTGAAAGTGTGTGTATGTGTGTGTGAGCACGCATGTGTGCACAGGAACCCAAGTGTGACCCTTCTGGAAAGCTCTTTTCACCTATTCTTACTTAGAACAGAGCAAAGCAGGCAGGACACTGGTCAGAGGGGTCTCCAGGCCCCGGTTCCATCTGGGTTCTGTCACTGACTTGCTATGGGGGCCAAGGCACTTTTTCACTTCTCTGTTGAACTTGTCCACTATCGAACACGGACAGTTTTATTCTTCCCTCCCAGCTTAGGGGCTCTCAGGGTCTGAGCACAAAGTGGATGTGGAAGGGCTTTGGGCAGTACAAGGCCATCCACAGACATGAGCAGGGTTACAGTCTCCTCCTTGCAGAGCCGCCCTGGACAAGCATAGCCCCCCAGCCCCAGCCCTGCTGAGAGTGAGGAGTCCAAAGAGCAAGCCTGGGGCTGGGCCATGCCACCCTGCAGTCCCAGGAACCTCGACTCAGTGGTGAGGACAAGTCCAGTGTTCCTGCACCCTGGGGTCTCCTCTGCAACTGCCCACAGTCTGCCCACCTCTCGCCCCGTCGGCTGCTCTGCCCTGCCTTCAGCTGGGACCTCTGGGAAGAGGAAACAAAACACCCATCATCTCAAAGCATCTGAAAATTCACTGGCCTTAAGGACCACAAGCCAGGAGGTGGGAGGACAGTCTGGGCCACTGGGGTCCGTGGGTGAAGCAGCCGCAGCCCTGACAGCCCTCCGCCTGCTTCTTCCCTGGATGTGCACAGGCCAGGAGCCCCACGAGGAGTCCCACTTGGCTGCCTCCGGGCCACGGCCTTCCATCCTCACGCTGGATCCTGCAGTCCTTGGGGACGGGTTGGGCGGGGGGAAGCATGCTTGGGACCAGGACAAGCTGATGAGAGAAAAGGGCCACAGAGATGGGGGTCTCAAGAGGCAGCAGAAACACACTTTCTTTCCTCAAGAACTTTTGCAGAAGCTGCAGTGGTAGCTGGGGTCCTCTGGGGTGAGCACGGGGTCCTTTCTGATGTTTTCTGCAGAGATGGTGCAAAGGCTGAAGGGTCTTCACATTTTAACAAGCAGGGCGGGGGGTTAGGAGGTTCCTCCCCTCCTCCTGGAGCCGTCGCCAGAGTAAAAGCGTGATGGCAGCTCACAGTTAACTCAGGACCCATCGGGAGTCTGTCTGACTTAGAGCGTCTGCCTGGTCTTTGAGGCTAGTTCCACAGCCAAGAAAAAGTGATAGGAATTGTATCATATGCATTGTTTTGTGCTAGCAGTTGGGCCAGGTATTTGGGGGTATAGAAGTGAGTAAGGCTGGGCTAGGTCATGCTGCATTAACAAACCCCAGTCACAGTGACTAGAGCAGTTAGGTTTCTTCTCTTCAAAGCTGCCTGCTTGGCACAGATCATCAAGAGGCTGTGTGTATTATACTTACTCAGGGACCCAGCCTCCCAGGGGCCCACCCTCTCTAATGTGCATTGCTGAGTTGGATTAAAAAAAAAAATCTCCAGAAGTTCTTCCACTTGGGATCATAGTTCATTGGCCGGAACTAGCCAGTGGGGAGGTCCCACTCCCCTCCAGGGGCTGAGCAGTGGGACCTTTCACCATACCTAGAAGGAGGGAAGCCGGAGCCTTTGGGAACAGCCCTGAGGATTCCACAGGGGGACTCTTTAGGGGTTCTCATGCTAGTGAGCAACACAGACCAGTAAGTGGGAATCACATAAGGGCATCAGTCTGCTGGGGGTTCTATAGGAGCACCTAAAAAGGGGTGACTGACCCAGTCTTCCTGGAGGAGGGGACGTGGAGATGGTACACATTGGCCATGTAAATGGGGGAGAATGGAGATTGGGAGGTAAGGGGGAAGAAAACCAGAAGGGACATTCTGAGCAAAGGCCAGTAGGTGGGACACAGTGTGCTGTCTAAGCAGTTGGAAGTTGCTGGAGCGCTGGGCAGAGGCAGTTTGTCTGGAGTCGAGGCTGCAGCGTGGAGGCTCCTGGGCGCAGAGGGTGCTGCCCCAGCAAGAATGAGCAGCTGAGCCTGGGTTTCTACCTTTGGACCGAGCAGCATTTTCCCGATGGCTTCCAAGGATCAGCTGCATCAAGGGACACCTGGGGAGCTTGTTCAACTCCTCATTCTCAGCACCCCCTGGACCCCCCAAATCACAGGGTCTATGAAGGCAGGGTCTATAGACAAAATATCCGGGGGATTTTGGCCCTAACTTTGTAATATGATCATTTTCAAACACACACACACACAAACTGATCACCCAGATACCCACCACTTACATTCAACACTTACTAACATTTTGCCATATTAGTTTAATGCATGTGTGTGTGTGTGTGTGTGTGTGTGTGTGTGTGTATGTGCGCGCGCGTGTGTATTTGGCTGAACCATTCGAGAGTGAATTGCAGACATCACAGTACTTGACCCTTAAACATTTCAGCTGTGTCTCCTGAGAACAAGTGCTCTCTCCGCCATAACCTCAAGGCCATTAAGACATTTGAAAAAATTAACAATTATTTAATAATATCGTTGTATCACCCACATTCATATTTCTCCAATTATCCTTTTTTAGCTTGTCTCTAATCAGTTGACTCCAGGTGATTTTTAGGCGAGACAGACCGGAGACTCTCTGAGTCAGCCCACTTGTCAGGGTGCTGGCTGCCCCCGGTGATCCTCCCTGCAGTGTCTGGATTAGGATTTATTGCTTTGTAGTCTCCACTACAAAACAAATAACTCTTCTGCCTACAATAGTTGTACTTTCTACTATATTACTACCACTCACACCAATCCTATCAGTATTAGAATAGGAGTTTAGGTTAATCCAGACCAAGAGCCTTCAAAGCCCTAAGCAAGTAGAACGTACTTAACTCCTGATAAGGATTGCAAGATCACATCTTACATCAATTGAATGCAAATCAACCACTTTAATTAAGCTAAATCCTCACTAGATTGGTGGGCTCCACCCCCACGAAACTTTAGTTAACAGCTAAACACCCTAGCTAACTGGCTTCAATCTACTTCTCCTGCCGCGAAAAAAAAAAGGCGGGAGAAGCCCCGGCAGAATTGAAGCTGCTTCTTTGAATTTGCAATTCAACATGTAATTTCACCACAGGGCTTGGTAAAAAGAGGAATACAAACCTCTGTCTTTAGATTTACAATCTAATGCTTTGCTCAGCCATTTTACCTATGTTCATTAACCGCTGATTATTTTCTACTAATCACAAAGATATTGGCACCTTGTATTTACTATTCGGTGCTTGAGCAGGCATAGTAGGAACTGCCCTAAGCTTACTAATCCGTGCTGAACTGGGTCAACCTGGAACCCTACTCGGAGATGATCAAATTTATAACGTAATTGTGACCGCACATGCATTCGTAATAATTTTCTTTATAGTAATACCAATTATAATTGGAGGATTTGGTAATTGACTTGTCCCTTTAATAATTGGTGCTCCAGATATAGCATTCCCCCGAATAAATAATATAAGCTTCTGACTTCTCCCTCCCTCCTTTTTACTAAATCCTAAAAATCTAATTGATATTATAGCTCAGACTATTCCCATATACCCAAATGGTTCTTGGGACTTGGAGGAGGACTTCCCGCGGGCTGGGGCAGCAGTCTTCCTCTCTGCTGCAGGGCTTCAGATGCAAAGATGGACCAGGGGGAGGCCCAGGGAGGAGGGAGAGCCCAGGCAGCTGCCTGCCCGGTCTCCAATTAAAGCATCTGCTAAGGGCAGAGGGGAGGGTGGTGAGGGGACTTGACCGTCCCCAGAACCCCTGGGCTGGCCAGAAGCCTGATGGTCCTCCCCAGCTCACTGCTCTCAGAGCACCCAGATGCCGTCAATGGCAAGCAAGGAGCAAGCAATGGGCAGTGGGCTCAGTCAGCAGTGTCCTAGACCCTGAGAAGTGACCCAGAGATATGTTTTGAAGACAGCACTTGGCAATGTGGTGCAGGGCACAGCACTCTCTGCTCCCGGTCACCTGCCAGGTGGCTCCTGGAGGTGGGCAGCGGGAGGAAGAGTGACTGCTGCCCAGGTGCCCACCCAGGTCTGCCAAGAGCACCGCACACCTTCTCTGCCTTCAAGGAGCTATCGATAATATCCTAAATTTTAAATTGAGATGTAGTTCCATGAGAAATAATACCCATGAGGTAATGTACAATGAAGGTAGGCCTGCCTTGGGGCGGAAGTGACACTGAGTGGGGCTGAGTTTTTACATATGTACGTATGCCCCTTGCCAGACTGGACGGCAAAGCCAGGTGAGGCTAGGGCTCAGCCGGCCACAGGCCCTCCGGCCAGGGAGAACTTGTAGACCATGAGCTGGGGTCCTGGGCTGTGTCCCACCTCCCTAAGGGTGCATGGTCCCATGCGCCCTCCATAATAACAGCTCCTCATTATCTGGGACCCGCTGTGGTCCTCAACCTTCCTTCCATTCCATGATCCCTTTTGCTGCTGCTAAGTCGCTTCAGTCGTGTCGGACTCTGTGTGACCCCATAGACGGCAGCCCACCAGGCTCCCCCGTCCCTGGGATTCTCCAGGCAAGAACACTGGAGTGGGTTGCCATTTCCTTCTCCAGTGCATGAAAGTGAAAAGTGAAAGTGAAGTTGCTCAGTCATGTCCGATTCTTAGCCACCCCATGGACTGCAGCCTACCAGGCTCCTCTGTCCATGGGATTTTCCAGGCAAGAGTACTGGAGTGGGGTGCCATTGCCTTCTCCGATGATTCCTTGTAGTTCTCACTAAAAACCTAGGAGACAGGCAAGGTTGCAGGTATCCTGTGTCACCTTCTCCTTCCCAGGCTCT